TTTCGTCCCTTATGGTTGATGGCTACCCTTCATTCCATCCTTCCACACACGCTCATGAAAAAATAATTTAAAAAATAGTAAGATAGAAATTATAAATTGGTTGTGTATTATGATCATGTGTAGCCAACGGTGAAGACAAGGCAGTCCTCTTCCTACCTGCAGGGGCCCGTTCGATAATTTTACGTATTCTCTCTAGAAATATTAATTATATTATATAATGTGTACAAAATTCTTCATTCCAACCAACATTAAATATTAAATCATAAAATAGAGAGATCCCAACGTAACCGATAAGTAAAAATGTATTACGCCAATCAGTCCTGTAGTGAATTGGACATCTGAGATCTTTGTAAAGTTTCATAATATGAGAAGTTATGTGTTTGAGGAGTAGGAGATGCAATGAGTACATGAGATAGTGCAGTCAAAGATGAAAGTTTACTAATAAATCAATATTGGGTGAGATAGCATAACTACCATTAAAGGTGAAAATATGACACCCCTATCAATTATAGGCTTTTAAGATAATTAATTTGTGTTGCATTTAACAATCTGACTGAATTAAAAACTAATATGAATTACTTTCCATTTTTCAGTACAATAGTAGTTGTATTAGTGCAATGGTATCAGTGTACAAGTGCAATGGTAGTTATATCAGTGCAATGATAGTTAAAAAAGAAATATAATTAATATGCACTCAGTGTACAATTGCAATGATAGTTTTTTTGTTTTTTTTGCATTGATCGGAGGCCGAGGCCGAGAAAAAGAAAAAGCTACAGAGGGAGGATTACAGAGTAGGGGAGTGAGGAGCAACAATGCGTCTCTCCAGGGTGGTACCTATCATATCCTCTCGAAGAATCGAAGCTAAACCGGTTGGAGGATCCGCAAGTTCATACATACCGTAGGGATAGACGAGACTGTGCTTCGAGAGCCAGTCCGCGGCTCTATTCCCTTCTCTGTAGGTATGAACGATGCGGGTCAACCAATCCCGACTGAGCTTCCTGCGAATGATCGACAGTAAAGTAGCATACGGATGAATCGAGTCGTATATGTTCTCAATAAGATGGATGGCCAGCTGCGAATCCGTTACGATTTTCACAGCCCTGTAGCCTTCTTTCCAAGCCAGATCGATGCCGTAGTTGATAGCCCAAAGCTCGGCTAAAGCCGCCGAGGCCGTTCCAATGTTCGTTAGGAAGCCCTTGATCCAACGTCCAGTGTTGTCCCGAAGCAAGCCTCCTGCCCCGGACGGTCCCGGATTACCGTTTGAGGCACCGTCGACGTTGAGAGCGGTCCATCCCACTGCCGGCGGGGTCCACCCCAAATTGACCAAGACCCTTGCCGTTGCGTGGTTCCTGCTGCTCGGCAAAGATGAGGGTGAGTTCCAAGAGGTGTGCCAGATCTTCACCTTCGTCAGAATATAATGCTCAAGAGTTGGTGGAGACATAGCCGCGTTCAGACCCTTGAAAGCACCTGTAGTTCTGTTCTTCCAAAGAAGCCAAGTGGAGATGCTAAAAAAAGTCAGCCAGTCTATACCTGCGGGGGTCGTGGCCGAGCTAGTGAGGTTGCTGCGAAACCACTCCCTGCTGGTTGGTGCTGAAGAAGTTTTGCTGTCTCTCGTTAGGGATGTGCCGCGACCAAAAGAACAAGGAAGGAGGGCAGTCTCTCAGAATATGGAGCACGGTTTCTGGCTGCCCTGTGCATCTCGCATATCAAGGAGAATCCGCCACTCTTCTGTAATGGCGCCAAGGTTCTAAAAGGCGCTAGGCGTAAGGCAGGCGCTCGGCTCCTGACTTGCGCCTTGTCCGATTAGGCGTAGCCTAGGCGCGCCTAAGCATTCAGAGCATACATGGAAAAATTCTCAAATATTTCCTGATTTCTGGAATAATTCATATAATCCAAGTGCATATAAAATTAGCAATGCCTAGTTCTTAACAGTAAACACTTAACATAACAAATAACATGCAAATAGTGACCAATCATCTGCTAATAGGTGCTTATAGAGGCAAGAAGCTTGTGCTACGTACCGAGGAGAAGGAAGGAGCAGCAATTGACGAGTTTCGACTTTATTTCCCACTATATCAGCAGAGCGGTGTGAAGGTGAGAAGAGTGATCGATGACTTTCTCCTGCGGCGGCAGAGAGCAGCAAATGGGGCGAGAGCTAGGGCGGCAGGCGGTAGCAGATGGGGCGAGAGCTAGGGCGGCAGGCGGCAGCATATGTTACTTCCCGTGTTTCTGATTTTCTAGGGCAAGAGGCAAGTTTCTGATTTTCTAGGACAAAATGAAGAGTATTGGGTTTAACCGCATAAGCTCTCCCAGGAACGCCTTCTCTCTACTAGGCGCAAACTAAGCGCTATTCCTACCTACTAAGAGCTACCAGCGCCTTTTACAACGCCTATGGCCAAGTCAAGGCGATCCTCCACCGCCTAGCGCCTAATTGAGCCTAGGCGTGCGCCTAGGTGCGCCTTCTTGAACCCTGAATGGCGCAACACATTTGTGGCGAGCTTGTTCGAAAAGGCCAGCCACATGAAAACTCTAACTCGTTCTGGGGTGGGTAGGCGCTAGATAATCTTCCAAATCTTCCCGTCGTGGTTGGCTTGGTGCTGGGAGAGCAGGTTGAACGCAGACTTCGTGGAAAATTTTCCATCCGCCGCCGCTGCCCAGAAGGTTTCGTCGTTGTCCTGAGCCAATGTGTCCACTGCAATGCTCTCAATTTTTTGAGTGATCTCGCTGGGAAGGAGATGCTCAAACAGATCCGTCCTCCAAGAGCCATCATCACGGACCATCTCAGCCACTTTCATTCCCTCCATGTCTATTGGGATGTTTCCAATCGCCATGTCACGAAGGGGAGCCTGCAAAACCCAACAGTCAAGCCAAAAATTAATCTTCCTACCATTTTTAATGTTCCACGCACACCCTTTCTTGATCAGGCTAGCAGTTTTAGATAAACTAGCCGAGGTGAAGGAACTTCCCTGAGATGGCTGGATCACTTCAAGGTCTTGCTTTTGACGACCATACTTTGCCCTCATAAGCTGGGTCCAGAGGCTGTCCTTGTCTTTAATAATTCTCCATGCACTCTTGGCTAGCATAGCCAAGTTGGCTTGTCTGGTCGGCCTGATCCCCACGCCCCCTTGCGATTTAGGACGCGTCATCACATCCCAAGCGATCAGATGCATCTTGGACTTCTCTTCTTCATCCCCCCAAATAAAGTCCCTGTTAAGTTTGTCGATTGACTTGCACACGTTGCTGGGGATGAGTTCCGTCTGCATGTTGTAAACCGGGAGGGAGGCAGCAACTGATTTAGCCAGAGTCAGACAAGCTGCAAAGGAGAGTCTCTTCGCCTTCCACGGAGCCATGCGCTTCTGGATGCGCAACAAGAGGGACTGGTATCGCTCTCTTGTGACCCGTTCCTGGATACTTGAATGCCCAGGTATCTCCCCAAGGCCGCCTTCAACGGAATCCTGACACGCAGACTCAGTCTGGTAGCTTTCCTGCGAGAAATATTAGGGGACACATACAGAATAGACTTTTGGTAGTTCACCCTCTGGCCAGAGCTATAGCAAAAATCCTCCAAGCATTCTTTGACAACATCTATCTGTCGTGATTCCGCTTCCGCAAACAAAAGTAGGTCATCTGCAAAGAAAAGATGGGTCAGAGAAGGTCCGTTCACAGAGATCTTCACCGGTTTCCACCGTCCATTGTGAACAGCATCATCAATCCTGTGAGACAGACGCTCCATACACAAAATAAACAGGTAAGGGGAAAGAGGATCTCCCTGACGAACTCCCGGGAAGGGGAAAAAGGTTGAGAGAGCTCCCCATTCCAGAGAATTCGCATTCTATTTTGCTCCACATAGTACATAATACAGTTGATCCACGAGCTGGGGAGGCCCACCTCCTTCAGAGTATCCCTCAGAAAATCCCACCTCAACCTGTCATACGCTTTTTCCAGATCGATCTTGAAAACCAATCCCCCTTTCTTTCCTCTCTTTTTCCTGAAAGAGTGCAAGACCTCCTGGACTACAAAAATGTTGTCTGCAGTTTGTCTGCCAGGAATGAAACTGCTTTGCCGAGGTGAGACCAATTTCCTCATAATGGGTTTAAGCCTGCTCGTCATAGCCTTCGTGATCACCTTTAGGCTGACATTATTGAGAGAGATAGGCCTAAGGTGAGTAACTTTCTCAGGCACCTCCACTTTAGGAATAAGGACCAGGTTAGAGTCTGTAACAGTTTCCGGAAGAGACCCTTTCGAGAAAAAACCTAGCGCCATTTCCGAAATAGCCTTTCCCACCACCCTCCACATGTGTTGATAAAAGGGTGCATGAAAGCCATCGGGTTTCGGAGCTTGGAAGGGTTTCATTTCAAAGATCCCTTTGTGGATGTCGGCTATGGAGAAGGGACACAGCAGCGTGATCATTTCTGCTTGATCCAAGCGGGAGAAGGTTCCCTTCGGTAACCTGTCTTCATAGGCTGAATCGTCCTGCACAAAGAGGTTAGTAATAAAATCAAACACCATCAGGGCAATGGAGCGAGGGTCATTCACCCAAACACCATTCTCATCCTGTAAAGCTTCGATCTTCTTCCGCCTCCTTTTCAGGTTGGCCTAGTGGTGAAAATAAGCAGTATTCCGTTCTTCGAACTTCACCCAATTATCCCTCGCCCGCTGGAACCAAAGAACTTCTTCCTGCTCAAGGACTCTGTCTAGCTCTGCTTCTAGTTTCGAGTGAAGCTTTGCTAAGCCCGGTGAGAAGTTCACCCCCAAATGCGACTCCGTTCCCTTGATTCGAGCCAGAAGTCGAGCCTTCTTCTTTTATACATTGCCAATCTGTCACAGAGGGAATTAGCTGCAGGGCCGCTAATCTGGGACTCCAAAAGAATCACAAAATCAGGGCGGTGCTCCTTGAGAATAAGCTTGAGGGCTCGGAGAAAAGCTCCGCCACCTGCACCGCCAACATTCCACGAAAGGATTTTAGTATGTAAATTAATCGACATAGACATAGGAAGAAATTAAAAGAAAGAGGAGGGGGAAGAGAAGACAAAGAGCAGATCAAGCGGGGAGAGGTGTAGCGCCCTCCGCCGAGGAGGGGGGGTCGGAGAAAATCCTTCAGGGGGGTCGGCCGGCGGCGAATCCCCAGAAATTCCAGTCGAAAGCTTTGCTGCGCTTGTCCAGGCGTTAATCTCTTGCAGTGTTAGTGTTGCTATTCTCACTCTCGATTTGGCCTTCTTTTCCTTCTTAGGGGTCCAAATTTGTAGAGATTTCATCGGAGGGAACCTGAACGGCGATTTCTGCAGCTGAGCCTTCTGTTTCTTGTTCCTTTTGGTTCGCGTAGCAGTCGATGGGGAATCGTGAAGGTTTTTTTTTCCCGGGGGGGGGGGGGGGGGAGCAGCTGTCGGTGGCACCTCCACTATCTGCATAATTGTGCCATTGGGCCCAATCACCGTATGGAGATTGGGCTGCGGGAGCGGGGAGGCTCTAAGGCCGAGTTCCTCCTTGGACTTGGACTTGGTCTTGTTCGCATGCGTTGGGCTCATAGGGAAGTGGGCTGAAGAGGTGGCCCGATTGGTCTCGTGGCCCGCTGCAGGAACTGGATTCGGTGTAGGGTTTCGGGAAGGCCCTGGGCCCAAAATACTCGCGCTATTATCCGCCGTCTCCGAGATCATAATGGCTTTCCCTTTCTTTCCTTCTTCCACTTTTTTCTTCCCGTTCCCAGCCTTCTTTTCTTGGCTTGAGAACCGTTGCTGAGAGATTTTTAGTGGGGACGAGGGCGCGGGAGAGGGGGAGATTCTTTCCTTGTTGTAGCTCCCGCCTTTCCCCAAAATGGCCTGATTTCCTTGATTCGGATGCCTTGCATCCGTCTCCGACTTACCTTTCTTCTCGAGATCCCTCTGATTCCGCCGACTTTTGCGCGAGACCAGCATCCAAGGACCGAATCCTGGGTTAGGTTCATCGACCAATTGCTCCGCTGTTTCCGTAGTGGTCGCCGGGCCGGTTATGGCGAGGGTCGCCGGCGGTGAGTTCTTGAGAATTTTTGGGCATTCCACTGCGTCGTGCCCGATTTTTCCGCATTCAAAATAGACCGCCGGCAAGTTCTCGTACTCTACTTTTTGCCACGCATCATCCAACCATATTCGCGGAACTAGATGTTTGGCCAAATCCACCTCCACCGCAAGACGGGCAAACTTTGCCCGTTGACGATTGAGCATGTGATAGTCGAGCTTAATAGTTCTTCCAATGAGGTTGCCGAGAGTTGTGAGGATTTCTTTATGGTAGAAGTGAATTTTCAGAGCCGGTAACTGCACCAAACGATCATCTTCTTAGGGAGGGATCTGAGACCTTAAAGTGTGGAGTCCATTGTTGAACGGCGAGGTAGTGATAAAAAATCACCCACGGGCCATCCGTAAGCGCTCGAAAATAGTCTTGTTCATTGTCGAGTTTTACCAGGAAACAGTCGTGATCGAGGTCCAAGATCTCCATATTACCGGCTGGTTTCCAAAGACCTCGCAGGCGAGAGCATAGCGTAACAAATCCAATCTTGAGGCCAAGCAGCCGGACAATCAAAGTGCGTTGCCATGGCGCACAGATCTTGTTCTTGAAATCAGCAGAAACATTAAGCGCAGATTCCCCATTGCGCTCGCCTGGTATGAGGTCGTTAGCACCCACCGGAGTCCATTGGTTACCCCCAAGGGAGGAGTCGACGCAACTTTCCAACCCGCCACTGCCTTGGCTTAAGAGAACTGTTGTGAAGGTGCCGGAGGAGGGCAAGGTTGTTGGGAAGCCGCCGATGAATCGATCAGCATTTCAGAGGTGGACGTATCAGCCGCCGGCTCCACCCTCGGATCTGACGAAGCTAAAGGAGGATCCGGTGGCCGGTCGGAAGGAAGTTGTATCACTGTAATGGTAGTTCAGAAAAGGGGTTAATAGTATTTTGTACCATCTACTATGCTAAATTAATAAATGAACTCCGCTATTAAATTTTTGCACGAATATACTCTTCTAATATTAAAACGTAACAAATGTACCTTTCCGTCTAATTATCTGTTAGGTGACCATTAAATGAGTTAGAAAACAACCAAATTGCCCTTTATTTGCTGATAATTTTGTTTTAATTATTTTCTATATCTAATCAATTAAATATTAAAACAAATCCCTAAACTAATCCCCTCAATCGACCGGAATCCTTTCGTCTCCCTCAAACTGCCCGACTCCTACAACTTTCCCTGGAGTCTTCCCCTCCGTTTAATCCGCGGCTGCTCCGGGCTTCTCCTCGCCGGCGACGGGAGCAGAAACGACCGGGTGAGACGGATCCTTTCACATGGTTGTTCGTGGCGATCTCGGAATGGAGATCCCGGTGATGCTGAGCGGAGAGAGCAGAGCGATGAGATGGCCCTAAATGGTGTCTAGCATACGCCGAAGTCGAAGTAGCGTCTATTGATGAAGAGAGGAGAGGGGAAGGGCAAAGCAAGACACATATAATTTTTTTAAATGGATCGGCAGTCGAGGGACAATCAATTTTGGTGATAATTTGTTTGAATAAGGATCATTCTAAGTAATTAAAGGCCGGCAGTGCCGATCTTGTCAGTGGTGGTGCCGGAGTTGCCAACGGATTCGTTCGACTAGGCGTGCTACGATGAGTCTCCCGCTGTGTGATCGAGGAAAGCCGGGGAAGCTGCCCCAGCCATGTGATCAAGGGCGGAAATGAATGGGCTAAGATCAGGTGACTAAGGAGTCACATGGTTAAGTGAATCTCCACCCTTACACCTTATTAAAATTCAAGAGCTCCTATTAATCCAATTTAATGAAGGGCAGTATAGTAATCGCATGTTTATTTTTAATTATAAAAGGAATAAAAACAAATTAAAACAGTAGTTCCGTCCCCGTCCCTTTGCATCGGATCGCCTCCTGTCCGCCTCTGATCAGGGCGCCATTATTTCAGCCATTATTATTCCCCCGCCGCCGTTCCGTTTTTAGGAAAGCTCCCGCCGGGGCTTTTTAATTTTGGCCAATGGCCACCGCTACCACCATTTTTGGTGTGGCTTTTTAATTTTGGCCCATGGCCATGGTGTGGCAGAGAGAGAGAGGGAGGGAGGGAGAGAGACTCTGGTCGGAAAAAAAAATTTCGGCGACCATCGTCGAAGGAGAATAATTTTCCCGCGACAGTGTTTTGTGATGTTTGTTGACATATTTTGTAATGTTTGTACGCTTTGTTATTTTGTAATGTTTGTAAACTTTGTTATTTTTGTACACCATGTTTGTAATGTTTTTTATGTCTAAAAAACAACTTGGTTGACTTTTGGATGAAACTTCTCTATATAGGGATGGAGCCTCCAAAGTCAACCCGGGTGTTTTTTCCCGTTCGTATGAATTGTCGGTCTAGTTTGTAATTTTTGTCCACCATGTTCGTACTGTTTGTATGTCTAAAAAAAAACCCGGGTGTTTTTTCCCGTTCGTATGAATTGTCGGTCTAGTTTGTAATTTTTGTCCACCATGTTCGTACTGTTTGTATGTCTAAAAAACACCCGGGTTGACTTTGGGAAGGAGCCCCTCTATATAGGGATGGAGCCTCCAAAGTCAACCCGGGTGTTTTTTCCCGTTCGTATGGATTGTCGATCTAGTTTGTCATTTTTGTCCACCATGTTCGTACTATTTGTATGTCTAAAACACACCCGGGTTGACTTTGGGAAGGAGCCCCTCTATATAGGGATGGAGCCTCCAAAGTCAACCCGGGTGTTTTTTCCCGTTCGTATGGATTGTCGGTCTAGTTTGTCATTTTTGTCCACCATGTTCGTACTGTTTGTATGTCTAAAACACACCCGGGTTGACTTTGGGAAGGAGCCCCTCTATATAGGGATGGAGCCTCCATAGTCAACCCGGTTATTTTTTCTTTTTGTATGGTTTGTATTGTTTGTCAGTCTAGTTTGTATTGTTTGTACAGTTCATACGTTTGTAATGTTTGTAAATCTGTTTGTATATTTTGTCGCTCTAGTTTGTACTGTTCGTATGTTTGTATGGTTTGTACTGATTGTAAATCCGGTTTGTATACTTCGTAATTTTCCATAATACCCAAACTACCCCTGTCATTAATTAAATAGCCCTTCCCACTTTTTAATCATTGGATTGAAGTGTCCAGATCTAATGGCTAGGAGGGGCTTAGCCAAGTGACTAAGCACCCCCTAGTCACCAGATCCGCTCTCGAAATGAATGGCGCCGGAACGACGGGGAGAATCCGGGAAGCTGGCCGTCTCTACTCCAGTCGCCGGCAAGGAGATGCCGGAAGCATGTGCTGCCGCCGAGTCGATCACCAGCGAAAACTTTAGAGGAGACCGACTATCTCTGAATTAGTTGAGGGGTTTGGTTCTTAATTTAATTAATTTGGGGCAAAATAATTAAAACCAAATTAGTTGTACGTGTTAGGAGTAAACAGGGGTAATTGAGTCATTTCGTACCACTTTTAATGGTGACTTAACAAAAAATTAGACGGAAGGGTATATTCTTTACGTTTTAATATTAGAAACGTATGTTTGTGCATAAATTTAGTCAAAGGGTACGTTTGTTAATTTAGCATAGTAGAAGCGTACAAAATGTAATTAATATAAGTTTTATTTCTAAAAAATTATTAAATGCAATAAGAATTTAATTAAAAAAATACTATAATTAATAGGGTGTCATTTTTCCAACCTCTTAAAGAGGTTAGCTTAAAATAACTATAATTAATAGGATTGTCATTTTTCCAACCTCTTAAAGAGGTTAGCAAGCTAACCGACCCAATATCAACATGGAGCAAGCAAATGAGCACGACTGGATGTCTTACATAAGTAAAAATTTTTTTTGTAAATTTATCGAGTATATCCATTGGAAGTAAAGGTCAAATTTCTTAATATAGATTCACATCAATAATATTCTCTTCTCGTAGTGTACAATAGAGCATACATATAATGAAAATTAAGCCTAAAAAGTGTTATTCATTAAGATATAGCAGGAAAAATGTTGCGAATCAATGTAAAAAAGTAATAGCCTCTCATATAAAAAATAGGAACCCCTTACATAAAATCTTGTTACTCTTTTCTGGACTGATCGTTGGCTTCAAGATGGGGCGCCACGCCGCCACTTGCCAATTTTGTGGTGAATCTCCCCGATGAAGCAAGAAGAATTACGGTGGCTGAAATGGTTTTAAATGACAGCTCGAATGAGGTTTTCGCTCGTGCGTTCCTCCCTGAGGAAATAGTGCAACAACTCCTTTTGCACCCAGTCCCGCAAGGCGAGGAGCCTAGCGTGCCCATTTGGCGGCTCTCTTCTTCGAGGCGGTTTACTATGCGGACTGCATATGAGTTAACGAGAGGTGAGGACGAACATCATCAGCACCCCATTTGGAAGATAGCATGGCGGGTTCAACGTCTCCAACGAACACGAACGTTCTTTTGGTTAGCCTTGCATCAGCGCCTCCTCACGAACCCTGAGAGATGCAGACGCCACCTTGCTCAGTCGGATTCGTGTCCCATCTGTGGAGGAGGTCTTGAGACGACACTGCATATAATCAGAGACTGCCATACGCCAGGAATGCCTGGTCGGAGGTAATCCTGGGCGAGCCTAATGAAGTATTTTTTGAACCTGATTTGCAAAGTGGGCCTTACACTATTTGGTTGGCCATAGCAAGGTAATCTCCCCGCCACTCTTTGCTACTTTTTGCTGGCAATTATGGAAGAATAGGAACTTGTGGATCTTTGAAAAAGAGTTGTCACCAGCAGCTTGTTGGACGAATTTGGAAAGATAAGAAATCAGAATTGCGAATCAATTATGCAAGATTGTTTGGCTGAATTGCAGAGATTGACTCGGCCACAAATGGAAAGCAGAATCAAGCGAGTGATACTTGGAAGGTTGTCAAATCTGCTGTATCTTCTCAAACGGCTACTTGGATGCTCCTTGAGTCTATATATATTAGTTCTTTTCCTTGTGCTTAGCAACTTGGTGGAAAAGCGGTATAGGGCTTTTGGGCAAAGAGGATCAATCGTGATAGAGGAATAGGTTCTATCAGATTGGCGGCTGTAACGGATCTGGAATTGGGATCCAGGTTTCTATACTTCTTTGTTCGCATCATTTCAATTTCTCGAGTCTGTTTATGTCTTGTGTTTTTGATCGATTGCTTGATAGGGAAAACTAAATAAAAAGAGTCTCCTAGGAATCAGTGGGTACTGATTCTAGGACGAGGACTGACCCATAGTTTGGGGAACCTCGTTAAAATTTCCTGTGTCTATTTCATTTATGCTCTGTGTTTTCTTTCTTTTCTCTGCTTGCACTCTGTTTTCTC